TCCTCTGTCACCTTCAACCTATGCTCTCTAGTTTTCAATTCCCCATCCCACGGGGTAAAAGGCTACATGCATTCATCCTATCTATGCCCCTCATGATTTTATACATCTCAATAAGGTCACCCCTCAATCTCCTATGTTCGAAGGAATAAAATCCTATCCTGGCCAACCTGTCCCTATAACTCAGGCCTACTGGTCCTGGCAACATCCTCGTAAATCTTTTTTGTACAATTTCCAGTTTAACTATGTTTTTCTTATAACAGGGTGACCAAAACTGTACACAGTACTTCATTGCGGCCTCACCAACGATTTATACAATTGTAACATAACATCCTCACTCCTATACTCAGTGTCTTGACCGATGAAGGCCTGCATGCTTAATGCCGCCTTCATCACTCTGTCCACCTTTGACGTCGCTTTCAACGAACTATGTGCTTGTACTCCTAGGTCTTTCTGTTCAACAACACTCCTCAGGACCTTAACATTTACTGTATAAGTCCTACCTTGGTTTGACTTTCTAAAGTGCAACACCTCACGCTTATCTGTATTGAATTGCATTTGCCAATCCTCAGCCCACTTCCCCATCTGATCGAGATCCTTCTGTAATTTTTGATAACCTTTGACATCGACTATACCTCCTCCTAATTTTGTATCATCTGCAAACTTACTAATCATGCCTTGTTCGTTCACATCCAGATCATGCAAATAACAAAGGTCCCAGCACTGATTCCTGTGGCACACCACTAGTCACAGGCCTCCAGTCCAAGAAACAGCCTTCAACCATCACCTTTTGCTCCCTACCGTCAAGCCAATTTTGAATCAAATTAGCTGGCTCTCCCTGGATCCCATGCAACCCAACTTTCATGACTAATCTGCCATGTGGGACCTTGCCAAAGGCCTTACTAAAGTCCATAAAGACAACATTTACAGCCCTACCCTCCTCCAGCCTCTTGGTTACCCCTTTGAAACTCGAAAAGATTTGACCTCCCATGCACAAATTCATGCTGACTATCCCAAATCAGACCTTGACAATCCAAATGTTGGTTGATCCTGTCTCTCAGTATCCTCTCCAATAACTTACTTCCCACTGATATCAGGCTGAGTGGCCTGTAGTTCCCTGCCTTGTCTTTGCTACCTTTCTTAAACAATGGAACAACATTAGCCACCCTCCAGAGTCTGGAACTTCACCAGTGGCTAAAGATGAAGCAAAAATCTCTGCAAGGGCCTCTGCAATTTTTTCCACAGCCTCCCACAACATCTGAGGATGGCCTTGATCAGGCCCAGGGGACTTATCCATCTTGATGTGCTTTAAGGCTGCAAACACCTCTTCGCTGGTGATGTGTACATGGTCCAAAACATCCCCACTTGTTTCCCTTATTTGCTTAGCATCCATGATTCTCTCCTCAGCAAGAAGTGAGGAGAAATATTCATTAAAAATCTCCCCCATTTCCTGGTCTCTACACATAGATGGCCATGCTGATCTTTAAGGGGACCTATTCTCTCCCGAGCCACCTTTTACTCTTAGTATAGCTATGGTACATCTTGGAATTATCTAATACCTTATGTGCCAGATCCATCTTGTACCCTCTTTTTGCTCTTCTGATTTCCCTCTTGACTGTACTCCTGCTCTTTTTATTGTCATCTAGGGATTCAGTTGAACCCAATAGCTTAAACCCAATGTATGCCTCCATCTTTTTCCTGACCCAGAGCCTCAATATCTCTCGTCATCCAGGGATCCCTAAACCTGCCAGCTTTTCCCTTTACCCTAACAGGGACATACTGTCCCTGGACTCTTGCTATCACCATTTTAAAAGCTTCCCATTTGCCAATCGTTCCTTTTCCTTCAAACAGACTCACCCAATCGACCTCTGCTAGATCCTGCCTTGTGGCCCCAAAATTGGCCCTGCTCCAGTTTAGTACCTTAACCTGTGGACCTGTCCTATCTTTTTTCATAAATAAGAGAGTTATAGTCACTGGATCCAAAGTGCTCTCTGACTGACACTTCAGTCACTTGCTAGACCTCGTTTCCTAAGAGGCGGTCTAATGTTGCACGCTCCCAAATAGGGCCCTCTACATAGGAAACTTTCTTGGACACATTTAACAAATTCCACCCCGTCCGGGCTTTTTACATGCTGTATGGCTCCAGAGTAACCATCTTAGTCATTTCACCAAAAATCCAATTGCGTTACTCAAACATGATCTGCCTTTGACAAATTCTTGCTGACTCTCCTTAACTAACATGAATCATTAACCCCACTGACACCCTTATTTTCTCATTTAACCTATTTTTCTAATTAACCTGTTCAGAGATATTATTACACACCCCTGCAACAGGTAAGACTTGAATAGGGACAGTGCCACTGTGTCACAAGAGGGCCTACCCCGATTCCTTTCTTTAAATGACTGACTCATCTGTTGTTATTTAACCTATTTTGCTAATCAGCCTGTTCAGAAATGCTATATCACACCTCTTGGGACTTGAACCCGAGCCTCCAGGCTCAGAGGTAAAGACATTGCCATTCTACCACAAAAACCCTGTCTTTAAAATCGACCTGTTCAGAGATGTAATTGAACACTTCTGGGGCAGGTGGGACTTAATGCCAGATCTCTTAACTTTATAGATAGGGACACTGCCACTGTGCGACAACAGTCATTATATTTTAATGAATTTTTCTAATCAACATACTCCGAGATGTTATTACACACTTCTAGAGCAGGGGGAACGTGAACCCAGGCCTCCCTTGTCCAGGGCAGGGACACTACCACTGCACCACAAGAAGGCCCAGAAGTAATGCTTATGTTTTTCCCCAAATCACCCATGGCTGTGTATACATTCTTTTCAGTGAGACAGTAAAAAGAGCCCATTGAGTATATACTTCAATTTTTTCCCGCACCAGGAAAACATCCATGTGGCCAATTGAATATTAAAAAGCACAGCCTGCTAAGGGCAATGCTGTCATTAAAATATGAAGGTGATGGAATTGAGGGGGAGGGTGCTAGGGAGAGAAGGAAGAGACTAAATTAAAATGGAATTGGAGTGGGAATTAGAGCACTCCATCCCCCATGGCACACACCTCCCCCAAAGGTGTCAAAAATATTGGTGGACACCGCTTCCTCTCCAATGATACTTGGTTTCGGATGTAAAGGTGGAAGAGGGGCAGGCAGATGGCAGATATGGCCCCTCCATGGCCAACTGCCTGGACCTGTTTATTGCTGGCCTGGCCAGGCCCAGGAGCAGACCCATTTGGAGATCCTCTGATCTGCCCATACCCTTTCATACCTAGTGCTCAGATATCAGGAGTGTGGGGCTGAAGCGCAACCAAGAGCACAACAGAAAGTTTTTCTAATAACGAAAAAGGAGTGAAGATGCTCACAACCAATATGCACGTGGTCTACGGACTCCACAGCACTGCAAAACGAACATTTGCACTGGGAGTCCATGAACTGCCACAATATGCAGTTATAACGGACTGCTGCATGCAACACCCTCCACCCCAGGTCCTTGATGGAAAGAGGGCAGATTCCCACGTAGAAAGACCTCCACTGGGGATCCTTGCTGCCTGGCAGCAAGTAAGGTGTATCCACAACGGACATAAGAGTTGCGGTGGATGTTGTGCCACAGCAACCTGTGCAAGAACCCTAACAACACAAAATACGTAGTAAGGAGGTGGCTCAGATTGTGGGGCGTAGGTTCCTAAGGGAGGTTCAGAACCTTAGGGCTAATGTGAAATTGCATCCAAACAGGGTTAAGTCCGGATGGGATTACATTACTCAGCTGAGCATCTTCCAACTGATACATGAAGTTGGGTTCAAGCACTGTCCATTTTAGGTGTCAGACGGCATCAGATGCGAGATGGACGTTCACCACTGCCAAGCTTGCCAAATCACGCAGCAACATCCAACCCAGGTCTCTGCCACCTGGCATGTCCCCAACTCTGGTCACACCCGCAGCCACAGCCCTCCCCTCCACCGGTCACTCGAACCCATGATGGTAGAGGTGCAGATTCCTGAGCAACGGCTGCTAATCTTGACGGCAGGAAGGCCTGACATAAGTCAACCATGTTTTAGACGGTTAGGTACTGGTAAAAGGGGAGGCGATGGCCTAGTGTCATTATCGCTGGACTGTTAATCCAGAGATACAGATTACATTCTGGGGACCCAGGTTCGAATCCCGCCATGGCAGATGGTGGAATTTCAATTCAATAAATATGTGGAATTAAGAGTCTTAATAATGACCGTGAATCCATTGCCGATTGTTGGAAAAACCCATCTGGTTCACTAATGTCCTTTAGGGAAGGAAACTGCCATCCTTACCTGGTCTGGCCTACATGTGATTCCAGACCCACAGCAATGTGGTTGACTTTTAACTGCCCTCTGAACAATTAGGGATAGGCAATAAAATGCTGCCTAGCCAGTGAGGACCTCATCCAGTGAATGAATAAAGAATAAAAAAAAAACACAGACAGGAGCTGCATGTTGTAATTAAGGATGCACACCCAGTGGAAAAGGTACATCATCAGGGCACACCACCTGGCAGGAGCCTCAGCGTTAAGATGTTGCTGCAGGGTCTGAAAGCGGAAAGTCACCACATGGGTGCAGAGGCACACCAGCAACTGACCACCCTCCTCGACGTGGAGACTCAGAACCTGTGCTGTCCCAGAAGAAATGAACTAACATTCTCTGGATTTTTGTGACAAAACCAGGAGGAAGGGTCAAAGGGACCAGTCGGTACCATGGCAGGGAGGCCACCAGTTGGTTTATGACTTGCACTCAGCTCCTGTAAGAAAGCAGTCAGAGCAGTCCTGTCCAGCAGCCTAGGCGAGCTGAGACTTTGGCCTCCAGCTCCTGTCAATTCGCCTGCCAGGATTCCTCACCCAGGCTAAGGTAGACCCCAGATAGAGGAGATGTGTGGTACTCTAGCTTAACCCTGAGTTGCATTGCCCTGGTTACAGTCTCAAGCAAATTGGCTGACATTTAAACAGTGGAAACCATTTGCTTTTCAGGGCTGAGCATCTATATGCCTTCTTTGTGCAATGGTCTCCAGAATTGTATGGCGATGAAACTGGAGAGTTGGTGAAGCAGCAAGGATTCATGGTCATCACAAAGAATGACAAGTCAAAAATGAATGAGAATTCCAACAATATCCCATCGCTGGCAGACTGGGAGGTAAGTGTGTTTTAGGATTCATTCGTGTCATTTGGGAAGCTATGACAAAATCTTTATTAAGTCATTTGTAAATTGTGCATGTGCAGCTTAAATTTTTAAAAAAACAAAGGATAAAAATTCATAAAATCACAGAATTTTACACATCGTGTCTGTATCAGCTCCCAAAGGAGCTACCTGACGACCCATTCTCCAGCCCTACCTTTATAGCCAACTAACATCTTCACTTCCAAACATATATCCAACTTTCTTTTGAAATCTCCAATGGAGTCTGCCTCCACCGCTCTCCCAGGTAGTGCATTCCAAATCCTAACAGCTCTGGGTAAAAATGTTTCTCTTCATGTCACACTCCTAACTCTCTCGCTGACAATCTTAAAATTGTGACCCCTAATTACTGACGTTCCAACCAGTGGAAACAGGATAACTTCTTTACTTCATCAAAATTGTTTGTAATTTTGAACACCTGAATAAGGTCACCTTTAAATCTTCTCTACTCCAAGGAAAATATGCACAAATTCTCTAATCTTGTATCTAAAATCCCTCATTCCTGGTATAATTCTAGTAAATTTCCTATGCAGTCTGTCCAGGGCTTTAACATTCTTCCTTAAATAAGGTGCCAGAACTGGACATAATGATTCGTAAAGGTGTAGCATCACTTCCTTGCTTTTATTCTTTGTGCCTCTATTTGTAAACCCGAAGATCCTATAAGCATTCTGAGCATCTTGAGCACTTGTGCAAAATGGGTGTTATTGGACAGTTAATTGCATTGAGTGCAGTAAAATATCAGGAGGAGGTGGATGCTTTGGAGAGGGTACTGTTACAAGGGGGCATAATTTTAAGGTGCAGAGGAGATTTACCAGGATGCTGCCTGGACTGGAGGGCAGGTCTTAAGAGGAGAGGTTGAGGGAGCTAGGGCTTTTGACATTGGAAAAGCAAAGAAGGATGAGAGATGATTTGATAGAGGTGTACAAGATGATGAGAGGCATAGATAGAGTGGATAG